CACACACACACACACACACACACACACACACACACACACACACACACCAAGTATTTCCCTGGTTAGAACTTTATCAACTTGGCAATCGTATTGGTGAAGTAAATATTCAGAGGCTGGAGCTGGCACTTAAGAGAAGTAATTAAGCCATAAGGGCTCTATACAGTTAAGTACTCTGGGAAAACTGTACCTGTTAAGCACATAAAATGATCACAAATGTGTAAAATTAAATTAATATATGTACATAGACATTAACTTGGCCAAAGAGAACATAGAAAAGTATTTTTTAAAAATTTCTTTGTTCTGGTTGAGAATATTTGTAAAATATTGTGCTTTTCTTGCTGCTATTTGACTATTGTTGGTGCAACAAACAGACTATAAAGGCAACCATTATTGATTTTCAGGTATAAATTGTTTACCTCATTTCTTTTTGTAGCTTAGCAAGTCGATCTGCTTTCCGGGCAAGTATGAAGCTGAAAAAGAAAGCCACATTTGAATAGTCAGTTATACTCATGATAAATGTACATTATCACCTACTCAGCATTAATGAACTCTTGCATCTTTCCCCTTCTCCTAGAACAAATGCTATCCTGTCTTAAGGCTTCCTCTGTATCCAGAACTCTGTAGCTTGTGAGTTCGTAAGTAACAGGCAACCTTGTGCTCAACATTTTACATCTAAAATTCAAACCATATTTGATATTATAGCAAATTATAATGTTATTATACATATTAAGATTACACTAGATTATTATCCTGGCAATGACACTCAAGAAAAGCTGGACAATTATTAATACAAGCCATAGATGCCATGGTTTACCCCTTATTCACTACCTAAATGCTCTTTAAAACCAATAATTGGTGCCCTTATCTCACAGATAAAACCTTTCCCAGTAATTATACTCAGCAGCAGATATACTTGGTCAATATCCTGTCCCTCCTAAGAGACAACTGACACCCAGTGATTGAGTTGGCCCATTCCCTTGTCTCAGGTTAGAAAAACTGTGTAGGGCTATTCCAGCTTCCAGACTTTCATGGGCTGGCTGAGACCTTGCATTTGACAACACTAATATCCAGCTCTCCCCCTAATTGGACCTGATTTCTTCCCTCCCACAAAGGCAGTAAGTCCTAAAGTTTGTCCCAATAAGCCTCCTGTACCCATGTCTCTATCTCTAAGTCAGCTTCCTTGGGAACTGATTAAATGCAGCTTCCCAATAAAATAACTCAGTAAACCCCAACAATAATCTATCTGTCTCCTTTACTAAAAAAATAATCTATTTATTACGTTAATCATACTAAATGCACATACATTTTAAAGATTTGAATTGTAAGATGAATCCTTACTTACACTATTAACAGAAACAAAAATCTTACAAAATTTCAAGGGAGGGGTGATAACATAACCCAGTGGTAAAGTACTTGATTAGTATGTAGAAAGCTCTGGATTTATTCTCCAGTACCCACCCACAATCTAAATAAACTAAAGTATGAGAAACTACTTCTTTATTAAAATGGTTAAAATTGTATTTATTTTGTTTTAGAGATATCCAATAAGCAAATAGATCATGGCTAAAACTGGGCATCTCTTCCTGTCATCATCCCTGAATTAAAGTGTTCCTCAATTTGACTTGAAACTCCTTTAGGACTGCTAATAGAGAATGTTCTAAAAAGCAAAGACGCAAAGTGTGTTAACACAGGATGGAGTTTCATAGGTAGTTGCATATTATTTAAGTAAAGAGACTCACTGGAGGAGTAGTAGAGGATGAGAATGAACAGTGGAAGAGGAACACTGTTAAAAACAAAGTATGGATGAAATGCCACAATGAAATCCATCATTAGTGTCTTAGGATTTAAAAATGAATGAGTTGAAAATTGAAATTTGATCTAGTCAGCCTTATGGGATACAATCATAATTTTGCTTGAGGTAGCACTTTCAGTGTTGACTCAAAATTAATAGTTTTTGCAACAATCAGTAAGTTTAGACTTGTATACTAAAATGACTAAGATCTGATGAAAAATTAAGTTATTAATCAGTTAATTTTATATGGCTTTGACCTCAAAGTAACTGTTGTTTATATCTGTCAAATATCAAGTAAGGCATACAATACTCCCTTTAACTATGGACTTATATTGTTCAATTTTCTTTAGCCATTTACTGAGGAAATAAAAAAGCTGGGGTTGTGTTGGAGATATTTAATAGTTCTAAAGTACAGTTTCTAAAAGGTGATGGTTATTTCAAATACAGTGCTGCTTAAATATCACCTCTGTTTTTGAGGGTCTTAGAGCCAAATGCAAAGATCAACCTGGAGGTGATATATCTTTAAGGTTCTCATTATCGAGACCAAAGTACAAAGTCAGATACAGTGGTATATTCCTGCAATCCCAGCATTTAGGAGGTGGAGACCAGAGGATCAGGAGTTAAAGGCTAGCTCATCTATATAACAAGTAGGACTCCAGTCTGACTACATGAGAACCTGCCTCAAGAAAGAAAGGATAAAAGAAGGGAGGGAGAGAGAGAAGAAAGGGAGAAAGGGAAGGAGGGAGGGAGAGCTCTCTCAGGGAGAGCAGCAGAGCTCGCCCTGGCAGTACAGTGCTACAAATACAGACTCAAGAGTCTTAAGCAGGAATGTTTAAAAGCAGTTTTTCTACTGAGTAATTTAATGAATCTTTATATCAAAATAAATTGTACAAAAAGGCAGAAGATATTTCCTTAGCATGTACCAGGCCCTAGGTTCAATACCTAGTATTGTACCCACAAAAAAGAGGATGGTAAAGACTGTTGCCCTAATAATACAAGACTAGCTGGTCACCAACTAGCTAGTAATTTGTGTCAGTAATAAAAGACAAAGTATTTCTACTTAACCCCAACCCTCACTACTCATATAGTTGCAATAATAACAACAAAAGAGATTTTTTTAAAAAAGAAATTTGCAGTGCTTGTCCTTTGGGAGACACAATGGTAAAAAGTAACCCAGGGATGATAAGTCTGGCTTATTTTCCATATCAAGAACAGCACATTATAGAAAAAAAGGAAAGCAATTTTGTGCTTATGAAGATGGGAAACCATGAGAAGGCAAATGTGTAAGAAGTAACTTTTTGAGGTCAGCTCACAGATTCCTCTGGCTCTCATTCTAAGCTAATAAAATGATATTTCTAGCAAAGGAGATCTTACTTCCTAACATAAGAGAGATGCAAGACAGAACAGAAAGACCTCTGCCTTTTTAAATCTCTGCCCCGCTTTTAGATTAACAGAAGGCAGGAAGAGAGCTCTCTGGCATCACAACTGTTTTTAGTGATTCTTCATATTTGGAAGAGATATAGTCTGGCCTCCCATAAATATAAAGTAACAGTTAAACTTAAAGAATAAGTTCTGTTAATCTGCAGTAGAGTAGAATGACCATAGATAATATTAATTTATTGTATAGTTAAAAATAGATAAACAAGATTTTCAATGTTCTTATCACAAGAAAAAACCATGTGAGGTAAAGGATATGCTAATGAACTTGATTTGATCATTCCACAAGGTATAAATGTACTGAAACATTTTCACCCAGATTTACATTTTTTACCAATAAAATAAAACTACTAAATATATCTTCTTCTAGGAACTTCCTAAAGAAGTTCAGCAATACCTGTCAAAGGGTGGCAACACATAGGTCCCTGTTATAAAGCTAAAACAACTTCAGTGGGTCATAAGGCAAGAGCATCAATGTTTTTTCATCTATAACTGACATTATTATTATTATTATTGTCACTGACATTATGAAACTTGCATTGTGATTTTTATTTTGCTGACCTATAGAATGTCAAGCTGGCTAAACTACCTGAATCTCGCCTTACTCAGTGGGACTTAAGATGTGTTGTTCTTATGGTCATTATATTGTTATCTCCTGCCCGCCTTGGGAATTTAGTGTTATTTCTTACTTTATAGCCAGAGAAGTGGTTCTAAAACATTTTACCAGCAACCCAAGGCAGAGACAGCTTCATAACTTCCTTGGAACATGGCCCTGTCCCTTTACTCTGTAACTTTCAAAAAATGGCATGTTGTGATGTTTTATTGAGCTCACCTATCTCTTCAGGAAGGAGGCCCACATTTCATAGAAAACAAAAGCAGAAAATCATTCGTCCCTAAAAGTCACTTGACTGTTATGAACATGTGGGTTTTTTTTAATTGTGCAGCACAATAAAAGACTTTTTATGGATTATAGGATCTTTTTTAAAAAAAGGACAAAGGTAGGTGACTAGGAAGGTGAGTCCCTGCTTAACATTTCGTTTGTGAGGGCCCATTTTCTCCTCTGGAGCACTAGCTCTCAGTAGGCTGTTGGTACTATCTGTGTACATCTAAAAATAAAAGAAGCAATGCTGGTTAATGATAACTAAAGCCATCCACTAGTAGTCTGCATCATCTTTAATTGATACTATTAGGTGGTATGCAACAAGTGTTTGGGAAGAAGATCAAGTCTAGATACATTGAATTTACAAGGTTTTACACGGTAAAGTGGCTCTCTTTCCAGAATGACTGTGGATAGTCTGCCTCTAGGCAATATTGACTGTTATACTGTCTAGCTGCCTATTCCACTCTACCCTCAGCATATAACTTTTATAGAAGAAAGAAATACATAGGTGGACACAAGTGAAAAATGGTGTTAGTTTAGTAGCTTTCCAGGATTTTTGTGTCACACACAAAAACACTGCTATATTTTAATACACTGATATTTTAATACATGTAAATATGATATCATTTATACTTTCCATAACTTGTGCCAATTAAAAGCAATATCCTTTGCCAGCACCTATACTAACACAAATTGGAAACTGCATCCAGTTTCAACCTACCCCATGATGGCAGGAAATGATCCATCTGGTTTGGTATCATCCAAAGTGATTGAAATTGGAGCTTCCTCATCTTCAATTAGCATGCAGCCACAATAGTCTTAATCAGGAGAAAATCAATTAAGAGATTAAAACTACCATTAGAAATACACACATAAATAGAATGTATATAAACTATATTACTGAGGAAGAAGGAAAATCTTAAACTACAAGTCTTTGCTCCACTTCTCTAACCTTTTATTTTAAAGACACACATGACTATAAAAGGATGTCTATTCCTTAGGTAGAAAATGGCCTGTCTCTATCATTTTTCCATAAAGGGCTACATACAGCCTGGAAAAATAGTAAGATGGGGAAAAGTGGTAAAATGGTCCTGTGTGCATATGGGATGTGCTAGAAGGAATCACTTCTATTAACCCTAGAAATTGTAAAAAGGAATTCTGTTGAATATGAGCAGGAACCATATCTTATATGGTTTTTGATATCTTATATCAAAATCCTATCTCATCCAATATTCATAACATTTTGATAAGCATTTATCACAATTTTTCGTCATTTTATGCTTAGAGACCAGTACTAATAAGTTGGTAAAGTCCAGGAATAGCTTACTTCAGAGCAGCACTATTTCCACCAAATACTTACTCCTAGGTCTCATTCTGTTCATGAAGATTAAGCAGCAAGGTAAATGCCAAGAGTTTGACAGTGGTGGCTCCATTATTGATATTCCCATTGTTTACCTAACTTTTTTCTCCCATTGTCGACAATCACTCTTGAGGTCATTTTGTGAAATTTAGAGACAAATTTATAATTTCTGTTCAAATTTGAAGACATTTATCTTTTCGCATTCAGCATATTTTATTCAATATTTCTAAAATGTAATTTCTTTACTTAATAGTTTAAACACAGATAAAAGCAACCTACCCTTTTTCTTCCAGAAGGCTTCCTTGTAATACACCATGCACTTTATTACAGCACCCATTGGTAGACGCTGAATTAACTGGTTTCTCTCAGATGGAAGCTCTGGTTTAAAGTGGATCTTGGCAGTCAAAGCTGGTGGGATGGCACTAATTACGTATTTGCACTGAAATGCAATATACAAAATATCACCTAAAATATGAGATTCAGCCTTTGCAGAAGTTATGAAGCACCATTTAGGGGGAAAAAAAGCATACCAAATTAAGCCACTGTGAAACAACAAAATAGAACAAGGTAGGTGAGGTAGTGAGTTTTATCAACGTGACACAAAATAGAGTTAGCTTGGAAAAGGAGGCCACAACTGAGGAACTGTCTCCATCAGACTTGCCTATGGGCATGTTTGTATGGCATTTTCTTGATTAATGATTAATAAGGGATAGCTCAGCCCACTGTGGATGGTATCAACCTTGTGCAGGTGGTCCTGAGCAGTATAAGAAAGCAAGCCATTCAGCAGCACTCTTTTATGATTCTTGCCTCTTCTCCTGTTTGAATTTCTACAACGACTTCATTCCATGATGGACTGTGATAGGGAACTATAAGTCAAGTAAACCTATTTTTCCCAAAGTGGCTTTTGGTTATGGTGTTTATCACAGAAACAGAGAAACAAACTAGGACAGTAAGTAAACCATGCCTGTCAATATGGAAGACTTGAGGTAGATATATGCTAGAGTTGATTATATGACTGATTAGATTATATATAAGAAGTTGAAAAGGCATAAAACCTATTTACTATAAACTGCTTTGCTATAATGGATTACCTCATAGTGGTCATGATTCAGTGTCTCTACAATGATGTTGTCATCTGTTTGGTCTATATAAGTAACAGGAGAGCTCAACTTCACTTTATCCCCAAGGAGGTCCATTATCTGTTCACTTATTTGGCCAGATCCACCCAAAAATTTCCGTTCCTATGCGAAAAGGTAAACAAAAAAAAAAAAAAAAGAAAGTTATATAAGCAGAATGGTACAACACTTGCCACTAATTGGTAAATCTTTAACAATGACAATGCCAGACCTCTGTCCTTGAAACAGTCAATTGTGGGAACAATCTTTAGGACAGAAAAACAGTAAGCCAAGGTACCTCAGCTATCATCCTCAGCATAGCTTCTAGCAAGGAAAAGCCAATACTAGCATATAAAATCAGAGACCAGGAAAAAATGTTCTCTATGTCAATGGTGCTCTGATCGAATGCAAATAGAATGCATAGGAAATTTCAAATATTCATGAGTATGGTATCTGTAAGTAGTCCTGGGAAGGTAAGTAACCTTGCTGATTGATCCTAGGGGCTTGGTTTCTATCTCCCCATGGAGTTACTTGACTGAGCAGGCAAGGACATAGAAAATATTATATTACACATAATGTGAATATAAGAAAACAGGTTCAGGTTGCTATTAGGGTTAGCACACCCTATCAGAAATAGCCAAATCAGGTCTTGGAAACCGGAATTTTGGCTTTTGAATATCATCTCAAAACTAAATGTATGTTCCACTGTCAAGGAAGAATATTGATAGCTAAGCATCTGTTTATTCCTTTAAACATTGTTAAGTTTTTCTCTTGAGCAACACTATAGGATCAGAAGTGTTCTGCTGTCTTTAACCAGCTATTCTCAGCATGGATATTGTTCATGTATAATCCAAAAGGATAAGTTCTTTTTATGTGTGCATGATGAATCATTATTTGTTTAGGATTTAAATTCTTAGACATTTCATACATATATGAATATGGATATGAACCATGTTACTATTTTTCAATGTTTCTTTTATTTTTAATTATATGTTTGTTCTTGCATTTGTATCTGTATGAGAGGAGGGAGGGTGGAACTGGGTGGAGTTGAGGGAGGAGCCTTCAATCAGGATATATAGTGAATAAATTGTAGAGAAAAAAATTAAAAATAAAAAAACAAACAAATAAATCATGGAATATCATTCAAAAATTGGATCTTTTTACAACATATGTATATATGTGTACACATGTACACATACCCTCACAGATATAAATGCAGTCATAAGTTATTCATATAGTACACTTGATTAAAATATAGGGAATATTCTTAGCCTGCTGCAAGATTCTTTGAGGAATTAGAAATGAACATCAGTAAATGAGGGACAGGCCACAGTTGGCAATTATGATACCTCACTTATGAGTATCTATGCAGTAACTTTTGCAATTGTTGTTTAGTGAGATCAACAATGTTCTCTATAAAAATAATCAAAGAATAGTTTAGACTTAATTTATGATGTAGCCTTTCTGAAGACATCACAGCCATTTAATACTGTTTCCAGGTGTTCCAAATTCTAATATAATAGAAAAATCATGAACTAATTCTGTTGACTCTTCTGTGCTTAGAATTTTAAAAATTTAATTATAAAAGTTTAAATGTTAAGGTATTTTAAAAGATATTGTGATAATAGCTTGAGATTCAAAATCTGAACTCTACTTTCCAAAATGCCATATAGGTTTGTCTAGAAGTATTTTGTCCCCTACAAATGAAGGATGTAGATAACCCTTGAGTAAAATATGAGTTAAAAAAGTAATATTGACTTTCTGTCTACAATCATACAATTTAAAAGTTCAAAAGTTTTATATTTGCCAAAACCAGGGTCTATCACAATAATAATTCAGGGACTTTGGAGATCTCTGGAGAAGAACAATAGTTTACTTTGAAGATAAAGTGTGCATTCATAATATGCACTCAAAATTCTGGGATTCAAGTAACACAGCATAAATTAGAATTAAACTGCAACTAATTAATTAACCTCATTCCACTTAGACATAACATTCCTAGATAAGAGACATCCTCTTTGTATAAGAGAGATATTTGCAATGAATGTCAGAGTCTAAGGAATTGGGGTTTTAGAATTCTGGCTTTGCTGCTAGTTTATTATATATTGAATTCAATGTCTTTACTTTCTAGTAATTGAAGTAAAGGAGGGCCAAAAACAAATGCAAGATGACTGTTAAATTCTAAAATCCAAACTACAGAACTTACTATTGAAAGAGTAGACCCAAATCACTTGTGTGAATTAGAAGAGTAATTTTCATTCTACAGAAGTTAATATGAAAGAATACCTGTGAGAAACAGGTGGGATAAAGAAGCCTATGAAAAGAACACAGACGGTTTTAAGTATACTAATTTTATATGCACTACAATTTTCTTGGAAATTGACTTATTTTTAGTAGTTTAGCTACTTCTATATAAATAGCTTCACTTCCCTTCATTTTAAGGAAAGGAACTTAATTCTTAAGGTGTAATTAATTCAAAAGGAAATATTCTTTAGCAATGAACTATTTAGGACAAAATAAAAATTTCAGACATATTTTAGATCATTTTTATAGTACGATAAATGATTATTAAAAATGAAGGACTTATCAAGAATTGTTCTGGGAAGTTAGTTTTAGAATAGACAAGGTATACCTGGCCACCATTGGTGATTGAGAATATCCGAGTGGTGCCACCACACTGCCTCACATACCACAAGAACCACAGCGCAGATACCTCATAAGGCTCAGAAGTCACGTTAATGTTCACAAAAGTATAAGCAAATTCCCGAGCAGTTCTGTTCACAGAATAAGAGTGAAAATCATATGTCAATCCATACAGGAGGAAAGAGATAATCAAGTCCTAAAAGTTATCTTCTGACAGCCACATATGTTACACATATATGCTGTGAAATGTATACAGCTGCCACACACACATAAATAATTAAAAATATAGAAGCCAGAGGAATGTACCTTTACAAAATATAATGTAGCAGGAAGAGAAAGTGTTTCTACTATTTTGGAAAACACACACACACACACACACACACACACACATACACACACACAAAATCAAAAGCCTCATAGCCTCAGCTTCCACAGGAAAGCATTTGTTAACTTTGGAGTAAAAAGAAAAAACAATTTCTCCTGTTATTAAGAAATATGGTTTAGCTACAAGTATGGTCTATCTAAAGACTCAATGACCCTGATCATTAGGCATACTTTTCACCTATTTTAAAGACTTTCCTCACATTTCCATCTCTTCTGAAAAACTCTGGTCCATCCTACTGTACAGTCTCTTACATAGACAGAGAAAGTGGTGACATTTCTATTTCCACCCTACATCACCTCTTATATTCCCTGCCATGCTAAACACAATGAGGATTTTAAAAACACTCCAGTAAGCTGAGTGTAGTGGCACATGCCTTTAATCCCAGCACTCAACAGGCAGAGGCAGATGGATCTCTGTGAGTTCAAAGCCAGCCTGGTTTACAAAGTGAGTCCTGGACAGCCAGCAGTATTACACGGAGAAACCCTGTCTTGAATAACCAACCAAACAAACAAATAAACAAAAACCTCCAACACTTCAGTGGTAAGTTGAGCATGGTAACAGGGCCTATAATCTCAGCATGAAGTAGGCAGACGAAAGAAGATAGCAAGTTAGAAACCATTCTGGCCTACATAATGAAACTATATTTCATAAAAACAAATATAACAAAAGAAAACAAAACTAAAGACAAAAAAGTTCAAAAACAAAGATATCTTCAATGGCATAAAATGGAGAAATGTCTTAAACCTTGAAGGTAGACAATATGAAACGAACTACAGTCTGCTTAGCCCATGACTTCAACTACCCTCCACACTGCTCTATGCTCCAGTTATACTAACCATTAACTTGTTAAAATGTGCCATTTTCCTTGCTTTCTTAGGCCATTTCCAAAAGCTACTTTTTCCTTTCTCTGTCTAGGAGATACTGTTCCCTTACATTACTCATAGGTCTGAATCTGTCCTCTTCCATCTTGATCATTCATGAAAGACACAATTCCTTAACATCAACCTCTCCATTCTTTTCTCTGTAGGATTCCCAATTATAGCAGCTACTTTTTGCTGTCTCCTAACTTAACAATATGCTATTCCTGAAAGATTTTGTTCTAGAAAAATCCATCCATCCTGTTTCCCTATGCTTCTTTGATCATTCTTATAAGGTACCATATTTTCTTAAGTCATAGAAAATTCCATATTGCTACTTTATCTATTTTTGTATCCTCACTCTTGGCCCCATGAATTACCCTGGAAGTTAGAAGTTAGCATCTAACCGTGTGTGTGTGTGTGTGTGTGTGTGTGTGTGTGTGTGTGTGTGTGTATGTGTGTGTGTGTGTGTGTGTATGTGTGTGTTTACTTTCAACTGTTGCTAAGGCTTATTCTTGGAAGGTATTACTATTACCATATTAGTGAACGACAAGCTTACCCTAACCTTAGCCTATGCCTAGAAGACCCCATCTCACCCTTTTTGGCCATCACATGTTTTCCCACCAAAATTATACTTCCCTTCCTTCCCCTTCACCACTATGGTGCATTTTTTGTTGTTGTTTTGGCATGTATGTGTGTGGTGTGCATGCATGTATATGTTTTTACATGTGTGTTGACTCATCTTCACCCAGGGGGTGGGGGACAGAGGTCAAACCCAAGTGTCATCTTAAATTTCTCTGCACTTCATTTATTGAGACAGTATCTCTCAACTGAACTGGGAGCTTGCCAATTTGGCTAGTCTAGCTACTCATCTTAACATATGCTGTACCAAATAAATGATTTTTTCTGTCCTTATAGAAACTAAGATTCTCTCTGTTAGGTACTATGTTAACACTGCATAATTACGTGTTCAATATGCATCTTGCCTGCTAAAAGAATATGCGATGCATGAGGGCAGGAGCTAATTACTAACAAATTTATCACTATCTGATAATGTCTTCATATTTATTCAACAGAATAAATATATGCTAACAAGTATGTAAGTTCTATATGTGCCAATTCAAATACAGGCAAAATAAACATGAGCATGTGCCAACATAGCATTTGAGCACAGGGTTTCCACAAGATTATACAGCCTACTAGTCATCTTAGTTCATATATGCTCTGGAATATTTATCCATGAAATTGACTAAGACCATATTTCTAAGAAGATATACTTATCATTAAGATATGACTTTAGTAGTCAACCATAAGTTACTAAACTAATAATAAATCTAAATTAAAATAATTGTGTGTTTATATTTTCATTCTTCCAAGCTAATTTCACATCTATGTCTATAAGGAAATTATTTTTAAATCTGTTTTATTTCCATTTTAAAATATGGGGAGATTATATACCCTGTGTGTCTTTCTGCTTCTGGGATACCTCACTCATGATGATCTTTACTAGTTCCCACCCTTTGCCTGAAGATTTCATGATTTCTTTGTTTTTAATTGCTGAGTAGTATTCCATTGTGTAAATGCACCATAATTTCTGTATCCATTACTCAACTAAGGGGTCATCTGGGTTGTTTTCAGCTTCTGGCTATTACAAATAAAGCTGCTACAAACATGGTTGAGCGAATGTCCTTGTTTTATACTTGAGTATCTTTTCGATATATGCCTAGGAATGGTATAGCTGGATATTGGATATTCGATATATAAGAAAAACATACTAAAATCCAAACACATAAAGAAGCTAAGCAAGGAGAAGGACTCTGGGTAAGATAATCAATCCTCATTCAGAAAGGCAAAGGGGATAGACATCATAAGAGGGAGAAAACAGGAAACAGGACAGGAGCCGACCACAGAGGGCATCTGAAAGACTCTACCCTGCAGGGTTTCAAAGCACATGCTGAGAATCATAGCCAAACTTTGGGCACAGTACAGGCAATCTTATGAAAGAGGAGACAGAAATACATGGTGGGGACAGGAGCTCCCCAAGAAGAGAAAAAAAAAATCTGGCCACAAGGGCATTTCCTGAGACTGATACTCCAATCAAGGACCATTCATGAAGATAATTTAGAACCCTTGCACAGATGGATCCCATGGCAGCTCAGTGTCCAAGTGGGTTCTCTAGTAACGGTAACAGGGACTGTCTCTGACATGAACTCAGTGGCCTGCTCTTTGATCACCTCACCCAGAGTTGGGGCAGCCTTACCAGTCCACAGAGGAGAACAATGAAGCCAGTCCTGATGAGACCTGATAGGCTAGGATCAGAGGGAAGGGGAGGAGGACCTCCACTATCAGTGGACTGGAGGAGGGACATGGGTGGAGAAGAGGGAAGGAGGGTGGAATTGGGAGGGGAAGAGGGAAGGAGCTACAGATGGTATACAAAGTAAATAAACCATAATTAATAAAAAAAATATATCTTTAAAAAAGTATATGAGGAGAGAAGTGTGAATACTTGCCACATTTGTTGGGCGTCCTATGGAGAGCAAAATAGAGGGTCAAATTCGATAGTGCTGGAGTTATAGGCAATTGTTAGCCACCCAAAATGGGTGCTGGGATCTGAATTCAGAGCCTCTTGATAAGTAACACTTAGTATTCTTAACCACTGAGCCATCTCTCTAGCCTCTGGGATTGGTTTTAAAAAAAAATTCACAAACTCCTTTTGTAGGCAATCTCTATATAAAATAAAAACATAGTTACTTTTATTGAGGACATGGCCCTTTTGTCCAAAGATGTTCTACTCTGTGCATTAACTGTGTTAAGTTTTTTATTTATTTTTTGCTCAAATCTGTTATGACTAATAAGGTTATTATATTTCTTAACTTTCCCTACAAGTTGCTAAGAACAGCATTACTACTAAAGACAGGATACAGATCATGAGAGGGAAAATAAGATCCTAAGCAGTCAAATATACTTTGTCCAGCAGATTTTATCAATGAGATCTTTCATGGTCATCTTGTCCCATTCCTCAGCATGTCGTGCTTGCCATGGTGCATCAACAGGGATCTGCAATGAAACACTCATGAGTGAAGTAAACTGCCACCACTGTGCTACCTAGTTCTCCTCAGAGAATCCATCATGTGAACCTCTAAAAATTTCTTTCTTGGTTTCTATAATTAGTTTGGAAGTCCATAGAGAAGTGAGATATATCTGGAATTCATGCCTTTAATGTTACTGTCAAACATTACCAATAACAGTGATCATAATTACAGTATATATCAATGTACTTGTAACTGAAATGGTGAAGATAATTATCAATATCAATTTATTATTGGAAGATCACACCCATTTTGGCCCCAAACTGATTTTTGAGAGAGTAATTTTACGGAGCCTGAGAATAAATTAACTCTGAAACAGAAAGTCCTTCCTTCTTTTACAACTTAAAGTGGCATTGCAGATACATAACTCTAAGTAGATATTTGGCAGAAATATGTCATATATATGCTTGAAGGCATAGAGATGGTGGCATACAGGCAGTACTATAATCAAAGGTGCTTTTGAATTCTGTTTCCCTCACTGCATGGTTTTGAATAAATTATATAAGCACTTGGTATTTATTTTCTCCATCTGTCAAGTGGAAATCCTTCTAGATTTTGCACAGTTGCTGAGTACACTGGAAAGAGCATGCATCAGTGCAAATTGGCAATGTAGATTGCAAAAAATATTAATCAGTTTCATTCTTCAGCAATATGTTATGTATAAATCTAACACACATTCTACCTCTTTTCCCATTTCATCCAATGTCCTCCACAGGTTGTTGTAATCCAGATATGCCACGGGATTCCACACAGGTGGAAATGCACCACGAAATGGGTAAGTCTTCCCCTAAAACATAAAAATAAAAGGAATCAATTCCAAGTAGATAATACTTAAGTTACATCACATTCTAAAACCACAGGAACCAGCTGTGATGCAGGTCTATAATACCATGAGCTCAGGAAGTTGAGGAAGAAAAATTCCAAATGCAATGACAATCTGAGCAACTTAGTGAGATTCTATGTTAAAAATAAAAAGGAAATTCATTAATTGTAGATCTTAGAGCCTGAGATATTGGTGTTCTGTTGAGGAAGTTTGTCTCCTGTGTCAATGAGTTGGAGGCTCTTCCCCACCTTTTCTTCCAACATAGTTAGTGCGTTTGGTTTTATGGTGAGATCTTTGATCCACTAGGACTTTAATTTTCTTCAGGGTGATAGATATGAGTCTATTTGCATTTTTCTACATGTGGACATCCAGTGAGACCAGATGATGCTCCAATCATTATAGAGAGTTTTGGGTGACTGTTTAGGTAACAAATTGTCTCTGTCAATTTTCTATGTTTTGGAAGCTGCTAACATGTACTTTTTATTTACTCAAATAACTAATTTTATTCTTTCTCAAATCTCTGGTGGGGTTGAAGACCAAATAATTATACTTTCACAATTAAACTTAAGTTGTTTAGAATTTAAGAAAATGTTTTTATACAGGTAGGACAAATAAGGATAAATATTAAATTAGGTATAGAACTTTAAACTTGTCAAGATAGGATAGATAATCAAATACTTTCTCCTAAGTTGTCAAATGCACATGGACTGGACATTGCACATGTAAATCCTAACTAATAGCTTTCATAACTGTTTTGTAATTATTATTGGATTGAAAGACAAGGAGCCATTGGAACTAAAGGGGGAAATGTTGGTATAATGTTCTTTTGGAATATACACAATTTACCCTTGTTCACTCAAATGCTGATTTCATTACCCCACTATCTGGTTTCAATCTGGACATTGTACTGTGATGTGCATTACCTGTCTCAAGTTTGTGTAAACATGCTACCATTTGTTCTCTGTATTGACAATAAAAACCACCAGCCAATGCTTAGCAATGGAGAGAAAAGGGTGGGACATCCTAGTCTGGAGGGACAGAGGAAGAAGAGAATATGAGGAGAGATTCAAGAGGAAAGGTCTAGAAAACATCACAAGAAGAAACATTAGGAGAAATGAACCATACCTCATATATGACTAAAAAGCAAGTACAATGTGGGAAATCTGGAAGAGAGGAAGCAAGGTGGGCTTGGAGTAATTATTGCCCAGCATTGTGTTCTAGATTAATTAAATTTAAAAAAAAAGGAAAAAGAGGGCTGGGGATGTTATTCAATGGTATAGTGTTTATTTAACATATTGCAGGCTTTGTGTTCCACCTCCAAGACTACAAAAAATAAGTTAAAAAATTAAAATTTTAAACCAGTTAATATGTCATTTTTGTGCATATGTGTGTGATAAGTCATTTTTGTGTGCATGTGTGTGAGAGAGAAAGACAGCCAGAGACAGTGGGGAAAGGAAGGAAAACACATAAATTATGGTTTGTGTACCCACAAGTGTGTTCAGGCAGGCTTGCCTGCACATACACACATGGAGGTCAGGTCAACTTTGGATATTGTCTGTGATTCCTCTCCACCTTATTTCCTTGAGACAGGGTCTGTTATTGAATGTGGAGATCACTGGTTTGCCCAGATTGTCTGGCCATCAGGCCTTTAGGATCTTTACCCCTTGCCTGAAATCATATTCATATACTACTGTGTCTGGCTTTTTACAAGAGTGCTGTGGGTCTGATTTCAGGTCATCATGCCTGTACAGAAATCGCTATACCTGCCTAGCCATCTTCCACCCCAACCTAAGCCATTTTCAAAGCAACAGGGTCCTTTACTACATTAAAGACATTCTCTTTGAGAAAAATAAATATATTTACCTAAACAACCCTTCTCCTAATATTTTGTTATCTGTTTTTAATTTTTAAGAAATTATAGATTTTGACCTGTTTTACTTACTTGGACAATTAAATATATAAAGATAAAACTCATTTTAGTGTAAATGATGAAGCCATAATTTCTTATTGAATGTCTCTGGAAAGGTGATCATCTATGAGTGACAGCATGCTTAAATGGAAGATCATCTTTAGATACATACAAGTCAGATCTCAGACCAAGTTTTCAAGGTTTTCACAGGCTAATTAAAGACTGGCTTGACTATTATATTTGGTGTAAAGAATAATACTATTAGCAGGGTGGAACACGGGCATTTACAAGTTTGGTCTGTTCTACATCCATTTTTCTTTTCTAGAGGTACTCTGGTTTCCTTTGGGGAAATTGCCACTTCTCCTCTTTGTAGTTATTATGTAAGATGGTCTCAACTGCCATTAAAATAGGTATAGGTCAGATTCCTCCCAACTCCTGATCTAGCCCAGCTAGAAGCTTGTGATCTGAACTTAGTTAATCATATACTCTTAGCAGATTTGATCCAATAGCTCATTATAACCCAAGTACAGAAGAGAGTGGGTTCAAGAGAGTGGGATGAGAGTTCTCTTCCCTAAGGCAGTATGTCAACAGATGATATATATGATTCTTGTCTTTAACTTGTCATATTTCTGCTTTCTGTAAATTCTGAAGTGTGATGTCCCAGCCTCATAAGTTACCTTTATTAGCTCAAGTTGGTTTGTGTAGCTTATTACTAAGGTTTCTAATGTCAATGGAGGTTGATATTTTGAAGCCATTTATTTTACTTTATTGTGTGACACATACAAATAAGCAAAATCAAGGGTAAATAGAAGGTGGGGTCTTAGAGAAAAGTGAAAGACTAGGATATTTACAAAGTACTATCTGCAAATTTAATTCCTTTAGTGGTTCTTCAGTTTCTTCATCTTCAGATCCAACCAACTGCAGATAGAAAGCATTAAAAAATGTATCTATACTTAACATGTAGAGATCTCTTTGTTGCTATTATTCTTTCAATAAAAATTTATAGCTATTATTTTGATAGCATTTACATATACTAGATATTATAAGTAATCTAGAGATAATTTAAAGTACACAGAATATGAATAAGGTATATGCAAATAACACTTTATTTAAGCACTTTGGCATCCCCAGATCTTCATTTTCACAGGAAGTCCTGAAACTAATCTTCTACAGATACCAAAGGACAATATGGTTAAAAATAAATGATTTCTCAATATTCATAAAGCCCAAATACTTTCTGCTAGTACAATTTCTCATGAACATTTGATGTTTGATTAATAATCATCTGTAGAAAGTCAACTTAATGTACTGCAAAATATTAAAAGTTGTGCCAGACTTTTAAAAAGGTTCAAGAAAAAATCCTATCACAGTAAAGGCACAAGGTATGGCAGTATGTACATAGTTTCCCCACCCTGATAATTGAGTAAGAATACATGGCATCCATTAAATTACAAAGAAGTAAAATTCCTTTCCACTAGCAAATTCAAATAACCTTGGCTGATTATGTAATCTGATTTCTTATCAGAAAAATGCTATGGTGAAATGCTACAATACAACTTTCTGAGACTCCAATCCCTTTATTACTGTTATGAATATCATCAAACATTTATTGAGCTTTCTCTGTGCCTGGCACTGGCTGAAACTTATTCATATGCATTGTCTCATGTAATGCTCCCATCAGCTCTGGGCAGACAAGGACTACTGATATTTCCATTTTATAAATAATGAAACTAAAATCCTAGTGATAGTAGCTAGAAAATATTATCATATAATATATTTTCCTCACTCCTATATGGTTGATGGAACTTTCCCAACAAAATAAAGAGAACTCTCACATGTGAAACTTACAAATCTTTTCCATGTATCCTTTTTGTTTCTAAAGATTTAAAATACAAAGAAAGAAGCACCAGGCATATGATTGCCAAGGAAACATGGCCCTCTTTGGGGAAGACCAACACATTTTGTGAAAGAAATGGACACAAACATTTTACAGAAGAAAAAAACAGCTCTAGATAGGAAAGAGTGTGGGCTTAATAGCTTGGGAAGATTTCAAAACAACTAGTTCTTGTTACAATTTTTCCCTAGATTGAAATCCCAAAAACAAAATCTATATTTCATCTATGAAATTAATTTGTACTCAAAGATCAGTCATATATAAAACTCATCTCTGCTTTGAAAAAAATGTTTTTGATATAGGGTTTTACTCTACAGTCTTGGCTAGCCTGGAGCTTGATACATAGACCAGGTTGGTCTTGAACTAAGAGCTATCGACCTATTTTGGCTTCCCAAGTGCTGGAATTAAAGGTGTGGAATACCACATGTGGCAAGTATTTTTTAAATGCTTTAAAAATATTCTTATTAAGTGTTAAGTAATGTATATGTCATATTCCTAAGAAAATCCTCATCACAGAACAATACCAACTGGAGCATCCTTACATAAAGTCTTAAGGCCCCTCAATCCAAGCCTTCATAAACACACACAACACAGAAAGGACAAATAACAGAATGAGAGGAGAATCCAGCTTGGCAATCTCCTAAATAACGGAAGACATAAATAGTCTGAAAGATGTAAACTTTTCTCCTGCTGACAAAGGCGTCAAGTAGATAAGTAATTTATTAGTTTCATCTTTATCAGTTTCTGGCTAACATTTTCCAGAAAAAAAAATGGCTACAAAAATGCACATATTCTGCAAGTAACTGGCAACTTTTGGGCGATATCTTTCTCTTTTCTGACAAACACCTATAAAAGGACTTATATCTCAATGGTTACTTCTAGATTCCACAACTGGAGACTATTTTGACATGGGTGTATCTTTAAAATAACACAATGTAAGAGGACCGGAGAATGTCTTTGGCTGAGAAAAACACGTCTGATAGCAAAGACCATCTTGTTGTTCTAAATGAGATTCCATAGTTTTTCAGAATGGTGTCAACAGTTTCTGAATACAAAATGAGTTCTCATCAAGAACTGCCTTCATGACTTGAGAACAAGGCAGGGATTTGAAAATGGCTCTTTGATCAACTCCCCCTGATGAGGAAGCAGCCTTACCAGGCC